TATAGATCTAGAGATTATATAAGATAGTATATTAGATGGATTAGATGTATGTAGCGATATATGTGATAATATATGAATAGTATAGATGAGAGATAGAGAGGAGAATAGCGGGATGGAGGGAGGGAGAGAGAGGTGAGAGAGGAGGGAGAGAGGAGAGATCGGGGAGGGGGAGGAGAGAGAGAGAGAGGAGAGAGAGAGAGTGAGAGAGAGATAGAGAGGGGCGAAGAGGGCGGAGAGAGAGAGGATGGCGCAGAGGAGAGAGGAGAGATGAGGGAGGGGAGAGAGGAGAGAGAGAGAGGGAGAGAGACAGGAGCGAAGAGCGAATATAGACGAGGAGAGATGGAGTAAAGAGAAGACTGAGAGAGAGAGAGCGAGAGAGGAGAAAGGAGAGAGAGGAGAGGAGAGAGAGATGAAGGGGTGAAGAGATGTATGAGAGAGAGCGATGAGAAAGTATGGAGTAGATAGAGATAGGAGAGCAAGAGGAGAGCGAGAGACGGCCAGAGGCGAGAAGGAGCGAGAAGCGAGAGAGAGAGAGAGATAAGCGAGAGAGAGAGTAGAGGAGATAGTTATAGAAGGCTATAAAGAATGGGAGGAATCATATAAGAGAGAGCGATAATAGAGAGATGATAGAGAGAGAGGAGATAGAGAGAGGACAAGAGATAGAGGATAGAGAGAGACTGATAGGAGATAGATAGATAGAGAGAGATTATACAATGACTATATATATATATATATACTTATATATATATATAGAAAGATATATATATAGTACAAGATATTATGTACATATATATTATATATATATATATATATCTAGTCTGTCGAGTTATAGAGAGATATAGACTGATAGGTAACATATATATAGTATATAGTACTCATAGCAATATGTACCATATAGATATGTACAATATAGAGCTAGATATATATATATTGTATACATATATAAGGACCATATATTAATATAATAATGTACAGATAATATTACAGATATAGAGGACATATAAGATGGGCTATTGAGATATATAGAGTATATATAATAGAGAGATATATATATAGGTATATATATATAGATCTGGTACCTATAGAGATGTACCATAGATATCTGGACAATATATATTACAGAGATATAGTAGATAGGATATGCGAGATAGAGAGAGATGATGATATAGATTGATTAGGTAGATAGAGATAGATTAATATATATATATTACTATATGTCACATTATATTTACAGATATATATGGACCTTTGTGGCTGGGTATGAGATATTATTACATATATTAGGTACATATATATATTTACAATAGATAGGTACATGTATATCGTTGTAAAAAAAAAAAACCATATATATATGCGAATAGATAATTACATATATATATGACATATATATATGTAGATATATTATGATACAGATAGATATATGTACTAGATTATAGGCACCAGAGCTAAGGAGAAGAGATATTAGTAGATAGAGAGAAGAACTAGATAGAGATATATATATATCAGTAATAGATAGATATAATAAGTATATATCCTATAGATGAGTAGGAGCGAGGAGATAGGAGGATAGAGATAGATAAGGATAGATGAGATCGATAGATATAAGGTAGATATAGCATATATCGATAGAGAAGTAGGAGATAGATAGATAAGTATAGATATACGTAGAGATATAGATATATAGCGTATATAGATAGAGTATATAGAAGAGAGAGATATAGAGCGAGAGATTGAAAGAGAGTAGATGTACAATAATAGGGACACGAGAGAGAGGGTACGAGATAGAGATGAGAGTAAATAGTAATCGGGAAGGAGAGAGAAAGATGATCGAAAGGAATAGAGATGCAAGGAGAGATGAGGGACTAGATTGAGATAGGGACATGAGAGATAGGGACATAAGGAGAGGTACATAGAGAGGAGGGACCTATAGGAGGAGGAGATGATAAGTAGATGAGGAGAGAGAGCGGAGGATAGAGAGAGAGGGAGAGGAGAGCGAGAGATGAAGAGAGAGAGAGAGGAGAGACGGAGATAGAGAGAGAGCGAGAGAGAGAGAGAGAGGAGAGAGTAGTGGACAGAGAGAGAGGGCAGAGAGAGAGAGAGTGATTGAGAGAGAAGCGAGAGAGAGAGAGAGAGAGAGAGATGATGAGAGAGAGATCGTCGCGAGATAGAGAGAGAGAGAGAGAGTAGAAGGAGAGAGAGAGAGAGACGGAGGAGAGGAAGAGAGGAGGTCAGATGAGAGAGAGAGATAGGAGAGGAGAAAGAGAGAGAGAGAGAATGGAGTAGAGAGAGAGAGAGAGAAACGGAGAGAGATAGAGAGAGAGGAGAGCGGAGAGAGATGTAGAAGAGAAGAAGAGGAGAGAGAGAGGAGGAGAAGGAGTAGAGAGGAGCGGAGAGAGAAGAGAGAGATAGCGCACAGAGGAGATGAGGATAGATAGCGGAGAGACAGAGATGAGACGGAGAGAGAGAGAGAGACAGATGCGATGCGAGAGACAGAGATTAG